CCCACAAACACTGCCCCCTCTGGTCCGCCCCTTTAAGAAATCAAGCTCCTTATCCCACAAACACTGCCCCCTCTGGTCCGCCCCTTTAAGAAATCGAGCTCCTTATCCCACAAACACAGTCCTTCTGGTCCACCCCTTTAAGAAAGCAAGCTCCTTATCCCACAAACACAGCCCCTCTGGTCCGCCCCTTTAAGAAATCGAGCTCCTTATCCCACAAACACTGCCCCCTCTGGTCCGCCCCTTTAAGAAATCAAGCTCCTTATCCCACAAATACTGCCCCCTCTGGTCCACCCCTTTAAGAAATCAAGCTCCTTATCCCACAAACACAGCCCCTCTTGCCTGCCCATTTCACACGTCCCATTAAAGACTGCACTGTTCAGGTATATCTGCTTGCTAACTGGACATCCTCACATGCAGACACACACAGTATTTCAGTCTCCACCCCTTTCCTTTTCCTGGACATCTCTCCACCACTGGGCTTTGCTTGTGCTTAATTAAATGGTCATTAGAGGCTGCTGACAAAGCAGAGCAGCCCACCTGCATGTGCGCCGTCTGTCTGCCATGCCGCTGGCACCCCCACCCCCCCGACTCGCTTTGTAGGGTGGGCAGACACCCAGCCGGCCCCCATTAGCTTCTGTCAGTGAGCCCTGCCCCAGCTGGACGCCAGCGGGACTGTCGCGCCCTTCAGGATAATGGATGGGAGGGTGCAGCACAGTGCACACTAGCGCATGATCACCATGATGCGGCACGAGGAAGACAGAGCGCGTGACCAAAGGGACGATGAAGCAGGGAGAAGGAAAAATCACATTTAACACAGAATTATGCCCTGCCCTGGGGCACCATGACTGGCGACCACAACCAGAGCCAGGAACAGTTCAGCTGGGTCACAATCAGAACCAAGAACAGCTCAGCCAGGCCACGATCAGAACCAGGGACTGCTTCACACCCATTCAGCTGGGCCACGATCAGAACCAGGGACAGTCCTTTCCCCTACATCTTCACTTGCGGGGCTCCGGCATGATTTATGGTGGTATTTTTGTTTTGCCCTCTGAGCTCAGACTCCCAACAGTGATGCTGATAAGAGTGTTGATGCAACATCTGGATGCTTTCTAGAGGCACACTGAGCACCATGTTTGCACACAGTGTGACAGCGTTATGCGTCCCCAATGTGACAGCCATAGGTCACTCTACCATAGTTAGAGTAACATGCAGCTTAGTGTGTTTCTCTTACAGCATGAGGAGGTAGCGCCATTCCCATAAATGCCTGCACAGCCCAGCGCGGGAGAGGCTACATATTTTACCCCTAGTTACCTGAAGATGCCCTTCACTTTTCCAGCTAAAGAGCCCAAGGGTAAATGGGGTCTTCTCCTGAGATGGGGAGCAGCCCCCCCCCCCCCCCCACAACACAGCAACGCCCAAACTGAGAGCCATGTCAGTGAGGCACAGGCAGACCTCCCCATGCTCAGGGCAGAAGGTAAAAATGTAAAAATGATGGCGAGGGAATGTGAATTTGCAATCAGGGAATTAAGAAAACATTTAAAAGAGTAACGGCTGCAGTTTACCCATCAAGGGAGAGAGCGAGCATCTGGGGATGGGCATCTACTGCCTGGCTGTTTCCCCCACTCCTGCCCCCCACGGCTGCTTTTTATGCACGCTCATTTTTTTCCACTGCTTCCCCTAACCCTGACATGTGTTAACCATCATCTGTCTGTTTAGTGTCCTCTTTCCTCTCGATCCGTTTCATACTCCCTACATCTCCTCCTGTCCCCCCCCCATCCACCCCCCCCAGCTATCCAGAGACACAAGCAGCTTGTCCCAGAGACCCGTCAATTACAAATGTGTGCAGAGACTGATAACCC